CATGGCCTTCCCTTGTCAGGTCATTTAATGTGGCACTGGCTACCAGGAGCAAATAAGGCCACGTTATGCTTTGCCAACCTCAAAGACGCTGGTGATTCACTGCCAATGTTCAATAAGGCTGCTGTCTTTTTATTTTAAAGGATGTGATGGATTTATTGTGCGTAATTACGCATACACGGGCACAATAATTATACTTGCTTGTGGTATTATTCTGTCTAAATAATCACACATTTACCATATTTAATAAAATGTTGAAATTGATTGTTTAGTTAATGTGTTTCAATGAATTTATGATTTAAAAAAAATCAATCATGAATTAACGCGTGAACATGACTGCTGTGCATTTGTTTATACAACTGGAACATCTAAGGCTTTGAATCCGATGCATTCTACTGAAAAGCGTTTCATATGTTTTGTTTTGATCTAAAAAAACCAAAAAAACAGTTGAAACCCCTGAATGTAAAGGTAGCCTATATTTAAAATTAAAATAACAAAATGATTCTCCACAATTAATAATTGACGAGGACGATATGAATAGGTTTTCAAATAAAAGGGAAAACATCTCAAACCGTGTTTTCTTCCTTTTGGTCTCTCCTTTATAATATATCCAGTCTTCAGGTTATAAAGCACTTTATAACTTGCAACTAGTTTTTGTGTAAACTATTATTCACGTACAGTCTGCATGTGACAGACGATACAGATTGAAGGGGTGACACAGACAGCAGGACGACAAATGATGAGCATTTTGTGTCTCGCCTGAATAGTGGTAATGGGCAGAAGCATCAATTCATCAGACCCTTAGGTGGGGAAAAGTTTTTTTTTCCCACTGACATCATTTATCACCAAAACTTATAAACCCGTTCACAGTGAAGACATTTATGGGGACTAGAAGAATCCAGAAATATGACTGACTCAACACCAGTTGGTTGAAACAATAAAATATTAGATGTGTATCGCTAAAGACGCTAAAAACAACACTGATCTTCAGTGATCGCTGGTGCGATTTCTTCTGACATGTCATATACATATTTCCATGAATCTGTTGCTTGCTCCTCACTCTCCGTTATAATGATAAAAAAAAACGACAACGTCAATAACTGATTCACTAGGAAGGCATTGTGATGCCTTATCTTGCCATAGATATATAACAAACTGACGCCTGTGGTTATGGGAAATCGTGGTTATTGTGCCAAATTGTGGGCCTACCCCTATTAACATTCAATCAGTTATTCAGGTTCCAGCCAATGAATAGTGGAGAGGGATGTAGGAGGACGGAGTTGAGCGTTTTGACGCGCAGAGAGGAGGACAGAGCGTCACATCTCTCCAAACGCCCATCAAAGTTTCAGCAGAGCGCGCAGAGAGGACCCAGTCCTCTGAAAGAGGCCTGTTAGAGACAACAAGGATACGCTGGATTCTGGAAACACTGCTGGACCGCGATGGAGACACAACTGGCAATTACAGTTGTTTCAGTTTAACCCTGTCGTGATTCCCCCTAAAGCATATCTTTTTCAGTTTTTCATTTCCTCTTCGCGACAGAGCAACGGGAATGGAGCAAGCACCCAGCGCGCCGAGCCCTCCTCCAAAACCGGCTCACCACGAGCCCATCAGCTTCGGCATTGACCAGATTCTGGGAGCCGGTACGGAGCCAGAAACCGGGCGCACGTCAGGAAGACAAAGTGGAGTCGATCTAAGCAACGGGGACGGTTATTACAGTTTAGGAAGCCAGACCGGGGCCAGCGCGCCCTCATACACCGCGCTATCCATCTCCCTCTCCGGTATAATGCCTCCGGTGGAGGCGTCGGGTTCTTACGGGGATAGCAGGAGTCTGCCAAGCCGGGGAGTGATTCGAGTCCCGGCACACAGACCCATGACAACCCTGGGACCCCCGGCCCCCGTGCAAGGCGCTATCCCTGGGTTTGGAGGGCTGTGCTTCCCCTGGATAGGAAACAGGTTCGCCAAGGACAGATTATCAGGTAGCCCATAACACTTAACGGATTCCCCTCATTCAGATTGCATAATGTTTAAAATATTAGTAACTGCTGTTGAATCATTTAAAAAAACACCTGTGCCAAATATTTGTAAAGGTTTTTAGCAGCCAACTGAAATGCTTTTACTTTAATTATTTTAACGGCTGAAATAAAAAAACAACAACAGGACGCAAGTTTTAAAATTGTATTTAAATACTGGATTACACTACATTTACTGATTATTATTAAATACCTTTTACCCACTTCATTTGTGTTTTAGGAGTTCAATATCTAATTTCTATATCACGTAGTTGAGCAAAACAAATGTAGTTGTGTAACTATCACACAGCTTTGTCAGGCTTTGTTTATAAATAATAAACAGCTATATGTATTGACATATGTTATTACTGTAGCCTCGTGAAAATGTACTACAAATGTTAATTATTTACATTGAAGATAAATAAGAAACATAGCCTATTGGGATGTTGGATAATTTCGGCTACGTCTTAAAACTACATTAAAAAGTAAACAACAAATACTATAATAAAACATGGGTTATGTCTTCTGTATTTAGCACAGAGGTAAAGACGAACATATGTCTTTACAAAGAAAGGCGTTTCATAGAGAAAGTAAAGATAAATAGGCCGACAGGCCTGTTGTCCTCTCTGTAATAGCAGCATGATCAGTTTCTCCTCTAACGACTTAAAAATAAGAATTCATTTATTTCCCAGAGTTGCCTTGTTCATTGGCCAGACTCATCTTCCACAATATATTTCCTCTCACATATCTCACATAAGGCGTACACAGTCTAAATAGGGAATTGTTGTCAAACAGGGCAGATATCTGTGATGTATGGTCTTGTGTTTCCATACAGAGTGTTTGGTGCTGTAGGAAATCTTCTACTCACCGGTCTCTCTCTCTCTGTGTTCCCTGCAGCTGCTCTGGTGCCATTCGCCGTAACACGGCGGATAGGACATCCGTACCAGAACCGCACGCCACCCAAACGGAAAAAGCCCCGTACTTCCTTCTCCAGGGTTCAGATCTGCGAGCTGGAGAAGCGTTTCCACCGGCAGAAGTACCTGGCCAGCGCCGAGCGGGCAGCCCTGGCCAAAAGTCTGAAGATGACAGACGCACAGGTCAAAACCTGGTTCCAGAACCGCAGGACCAAGTGGAGGCTAGTAGCCTACATATTTGTCTGGACTCACATTTGCAACCGTAGTTCATCACATTTACACTGAAACACACACCGCAGCCTACTGCCGTAAAGTGTTAGGCCTACATCTGTTTTGGCTGTCCAGTTCAAACTTTTATCAAGCGCCACTTCCTGTTAATTGACCCCATTGACACGGTAGAATACAACTTTGACCATAACCTAACAAGCAATTTATACAATAGTAGGCTATTATCATCCTCCTCTTCTCATTCACTTTCTTCTACAATTACAACACTATAGGCAGAGTCAAATGTAGTTTTGACCAATTATTACCGCAACTGTATTTGCTGTAAATCGTGTTTTTATTTTATTTTGCTAAGGACACCAACGTTGACATCTTTACATCACTGACCTCATTTTAATTATATTCTAAGAATTTAACACTGCGGTTTGCGCAAATGTTTTAGTTCCACACGTGCTTTCTCTTTTTTTCTGTTATAACCGCACATAACCTCACTTTTGAATTGATCCTTATATTCATTTTTCAATATTTTTTTTTTCACCTGTCTGTTTCCAGGAGACAGACAGCCGAGGAGAGGGAGGCGGAGCGTCAGCAGGCCAATCGCCTGATCCTGCAGCTGCAGCAGTCCGCCCTCCAGAAGTCCCTCAGCGAATCAGCGGTGTCGGATCCACTGTGCGCGCATAACTCCTCCCTGTACGCCCTGCAGAACCTCCAACCCTGGGCCGAGGAGAGGGAATAAACACTCTAATCGATAGGCATTAGCTATTATCCATGGGAGGATAAATAAAATAAATGAGTCCTACATGAGGACTAACACTGACTATGATCCATGCAATGGATAAAAAAATGTTGGACCTGATAAATGAGGAATTGGTCGCAGCCAATTGAGTGGACGGTTGAGAAAATTGACCGGAAATGATGGTGAGTGGTGTTTGTTTTGGAGAAGAGATCAAACTTTCTTGGAGTCAATCTTGCAACTCTGTTCTTTGGAACCGTGAGCCTTTTTCCAATCGAAAAGGGAAACTGAACTTTAACAATTCTTGTCACAACATTATTTTTCCTCTTATGCGTGTACCAATTATGTTTACTAGGATAAGAGGGAGAAATATTTGTGTTAACCCCTTGACTTAAAGTAACCATTTTGAAACATCTTGAAAGGGTTGGCTTTGTTTCTATAGGGGAAAAACACCAGCCATATGAAGGCAAGGCCTACTACACCCGTTTAAACAGATACATAAGAGAACCTGCTCAAGAATGTGTCTGGAAAAAAATAATAGTTAAGAATCCTGCTTTCTTTTATCCAAATACACAAAAATATGTCTTCACAAGATTATATTTTTGAATGTTCTGGTGCTTAACATTTCTTCCAATCTCATTTATAAATGCAACACCACAATTACCTGTGCATACAAAGGTGTGGTGTACCAGAGTAGCCCAATAAATGGTGACTAAAATGTTATATTATCGGAGATAAATGCTTTTGTGCACAGTAATAAAAAGAAAATAGATGTCAGGATTAGAGGGGAGAGAAGTGAAGAAAATATGAAGGAGGCTGTAAATTGGGTAATAAAGGGAGTGATGCATGTTCAGTTATGGTGGTGACGTTTTTTTCATATGCACATTATCTATCATGCTTTATTTGTGTGTCCTCCGGGATTGAGGCACAAATGTACAACTCTTTTGTACTTTCATTGTATATGTGTAAATAACAATATAAACTGTTCTTGTGACCCCTTTTGCTCCTGCTCTTTATGGCGCACTATAAAAATGGTTTTACGGTTTTAATACACAACAATTATAAGCTATACAAATGCAAATGTTATGACGTGACAAGGTGAAAAAAATAGCAGACATGAATTCATTTAGTTTCTTGAAAATTTTATTGATAAATATAATGATTTTATACAATATTTCAATACACACATTATTTCATTCTGACAGCTTTATTCTGTCTGTCTGTTTGTCTTCCTTTCTGTCAGTCTATCTTAAAGTTATTCTGGGTATAATTGAGATGAGCCGCAACACATCTCAGCAAGGAATCTTTATTAAACAATAGTTAGCACAGTGAGTGGGCCTGACACTAAATCATTTATTATTCTGTATTTTCGTCTTGCTCAATCTTTTAAAAAAAAGGCTCGTTTGAAACATGGCTTCCATTCCTTCAGAATCAGTGACTGGGTCTCTCTCGTCTTCTGTCTTATTCTCTACTCTTCTTTTATTCTTTTGCCACGCTCGTCCTTCCTTCTTCTAGCTCCCCTCTCTTGTCTCTCCTTCACAGTGAAAGGTTGGTGGCCCCGAGTCGACATTTCTAACAAACAGAACTGACGACAAAACTCTCCTCTCTGGCAGAAACACAGCCATTTGAGCTTGACCAATTCTTCCAAAAGATGATGTTGCTACTTGCTACACAAACACACTTATATTCACACACACACACACACACACACACACACACACACACACACACACACACACACACACACACACACACACACACACACACACGTCACTGCATCTGTGTGCCAGTTGACCTCTAAATGTATCCTTTATTAAGCAATGAGTGTCAGGTTGAATTATTACATTAAATCCATTTGACAGAGAGACAGACAGATAGTCAGAATAAGAAACACGCAGACAAAGACAAGGCGAGAACAAGCCACAAATACAACAGTTAAATATTTACAGTGTATTCGTTCTAACATTGAAACACTGACCGACACCACATGAACACAGTGGGTGTAAAGAGGACTGTAGCAAGCTGTCACGAGACGTAAGACTGCACGCTGGCTGAGGTTACATTCAGCTCTGCAAACCTTTACAGGCCTGTGTCTGAATTTAGTCTGAAAACAAATGAGGTGGCTCTGTCAGACCATTGCTTCCAAAATGTATACACTTAGTTGAGAATATTTTTGAGTTATTTATCACGGCACAAAGCCCATGTTAAATATGGCGTAGGCCTCTCTCTTGCATGCTTCACAATAATGCTCAGCTTTGTTTTGATGACACAGAAATTCACGATGAAAACAGCTATTATTTTAAAGTCGAATGCACAAAGTATGCATTGGATTGTTCCCAGCTGCTTTTAGGAATTCCAGTCCTGCTAGTTAATATGGTTCAATTTACAAGTGTATTAAAAGTATTTGACCAAATGAGACAGAATCAGAATTTACAAAATGACATGAAATGCACACTGTCAGTAACGACTGCAAAAATGAGGGAGATGGAGAAGAGGTAAATGGTTACAGAGGTTAAATGAAAGGTATAAGTCCAAAGAATCTTTTCCCAAACGTTTGTCTCCATGGATGTTTCAGCAAGATGGTTTCCATGAAGTTTTCTGGCAACCATCCCTCTTTAAGCGACAAGATCCATGATTTGTTTCCAACGAAAGCTATGCTGTTCCTTTTCTCTTGTGTGTTCATCTCTTTTCTTCTTTGTTCTTATCTTGCACTTGTCTTTTGTACCGCATACCTCTTCTTTGTTGTCTAAATGACATTTTCAAAGAGCTGTAGAGACCTCATGATGTTTTCATCCTGTGCAAAGAAGATGGAAAATGAAAAAAACTGAGCGTGAGGAGAAAGTAATCCAACAAACACTAATTAATTCAGATTACTGGCCACTAGGGGGCAGTGAAAGCCTGTAAAATGATGGTCAGTGATCACTGCAGACTAACAAACACATTGATAAAAAAGGAAGCAAAGTCCATAATTAATAGCCAATATAGTGAGATGTGCAGAGGAGAAAGCAAAGCAAAGAATATGAGGAAACAGGCCCTTTGGTATAAATAAAATAAAATGTTTACTTTTAGTTTTTAAACTGAAATGAGCATTTATCACTGGTTTTTGCAGTTTTTGTTTATTAGGCATGTTGTCACAATAGGAAGCGCAGGTTTTTCTAATAACATTAACACAGCTTTGTTATATAAATGGTTTCAGCCACCTTTAATTCAATCATTTACACAACACATGTGCTACTGCAATATATTAAAATGCTGTTTTTTGCAAAGTTAAAGGGATCCTCTGTATTATGTAATTACAGACGTGAATCTAAAGAAAAGTACCTCTTGACAAGAGTAGATGAATTCATCCAGAGTGACCACACCATCTCTGTTTTTGTCCATTTTCTGTGAGGAGAAATGCAAAGGTGTTATAGGGAAGATATTATTAAATATTCATTAAGATGGATACAATTTATTTTAAATAAATAGACCACCTACTTAAATCTGCAGCCTATCCTATGAGTATGTCAATCGTCTTTTTCACGCATTGCCCTTTGCATCAGTGTTTTGGTTTTGTTCAGTGTTGTTTTTTTTATTGCAAGTTAAGTTTTTTGTTGTTGCTTTTGCATAGCGATGCCATTGCTATGCATGGTGCAAGTACCAGGTTTTTGTTATGCTTTTAGAAATGTGAGGCATGTGCTTGACTGATGCATCCTTGTTTGGTCAATCCTCACTAACTATGTTGTTGCTTTTTGGTCTGCCGCCTAAGATGTTGTTACCTGAAAGAAGGCCTCCACATGCTGTTTGGGAGCATCGTTTTTCAAGACAGGGTAAGTGTACTTCCCCATCATGTCGTATATCGCTCTGACGATGTCTGTCATCTCCTATGAAACAAGGGGAGAGTAAACACATACCAATAAAAACAAGTGTGAGATTAACATGAAAGTACAAAAGAAATGTGAGTGCACAAACACACACCTCTTTGTTGATGTATCCATCTCTGTTGATGTCGTAAAGGTTGAAGGTCCACTGTAGCTTCTCAGTGATGGTGCCCCTCAGTAGGATGGACAGAGCTGTAACAAAATCCTGATGGAGACAAAAAGGACTGAATCAAAAACAATTCAGAGGAGAGTTAGTTTGGAAATAGTGTCATTCAAATAGGAGAAATCAAGCAAACCTCAAACTTTATGGAGCCACTATGTGCTGTGTCAAAGGCGTTGAAAAGGTAGTGTGCATAGGTGCTGGCATCTGCAGGAGGAAGAAGAAAACGCTTGTCAGTACACTGGATAAAAAAATATTGTGAGACAAGGACAGGTATAGACTCAAACATCACGACACACACTCTTTACCTCCATGAGGGAAGAACTGGGCGTATATTTGCTTGAAAGTTTCCTCGTTCACAACGCCACTTGGACACTCCTGGAACGAGAGGGAGACAGAAGAGTGGAGATGGAGAAAGTCAGATTGAGTCAATTAAAGGATTACACAACATTAATGGGAGACTCGCTATGCATTCAACATCTTTAGTTTTTTTGTTTAATTTGATGTAATATCACTAAAAGTAGAACAGACTGCAATTTCATATCCTGACTGTCTCTCCAGGGTGTCACTATTGAGTCAAGTTTTCACATAGAGCTTTAATTAAGCTGTAAATTGGCCAAAGAGACACCAAAAAAGTCCTAAAATGATACCTGATTCTTTTGCAGTATTTGAGCATTTATGTGTAGTACTTTATTATTAAGTAAAAAAGAAAAAACGATCATTTACAGATTATTTAAATACATCTTCAGTATCTTAAGTACACCAAGCTGATACTGTGGACAGCTACTGGTGCTTAATGGAAGTCTAATAAACCACCTCCATTAAAAGCATATTACCTAGCCAAATATCAGTTTCTTTGGTTGTACGATGCTTAGATAAACCTATAGTTGGAAGTAAAGAATGACTATCTGTAATAGTTATGTTAGTAATGAACCTGCCTGGTCACTTACATTCTTAAAGCCCCGGTACAGCACTTGGAGCTCCTTTTTGCTGAAGTTGGTTAGAGCTTCTAGCTGGTCGAGGCCCTCCGGTCGATGGCACACCATTGTAATCTCCAAGTCATCATCAGCTTTGTCTGAAGAAACAAAAGTACATATTTCTTAATAGCTGATACACAACACACAACAAAAGAGTGTGGAAGCAAGAAGGAAGAGAAAGAAAGAAAATCAAAGTAGTATAAAACAGAAGAAAATAAATATGTGACACAGCAAAATAATCTGCCATCAAGTTCAAAATGTTATTCATCCAATCCATTAAAAGGTAGATAATAATAAGACTTTTAAGAGGTTGAAAAGGGAAGGAGGGAAGAGGAGAAGAAGAGAGGTAGGGGTCAGTCTAACAGCTCCATGTCCCTCGTCTCACCGGCACGATCATTAACATCTCATTACTGTCCTCGCCGGAGGGGAGGGGAGAGAGGACAAACCATCGACCCTGACTCAACACACGCACGCACACAAACAATCTTACACTGCCAATATATAAACATACTAGTACCAAAGCATGCACCTAAGTGCATGCATACTCCCTGAAGCAATCTACAATGTAATTATGCATAATCTTATAACTATGCATAATTTAATAGAAATGGCCGTACTATTTCAGAACATGATAAAGTGGTCATAAGGTGCAGTAGTAAAATGCTTGACAAAATAGCGTACCGGTGGTTAATAAGAGGGTACGTTTTATGATGCTGTTTCTGCCTGTTCCTGCTGTGTTTGCTTTAGTAAGGAAGAGAGCCCTGAGGTTATCATCCTCTCGTTTCCCAGTGATGGATAGGCTCTTGGCTCTGAGCTTTTAAACACTGAGAATGTGGGCCTCACTCAGACAAATCTTTTAAAAAATGCGCACCCTAATTCACCCATAAATAACTTGCTAAATGTTGCTAAATTCCTGCATGCCATGGGATCATGACTATATTATTTGATCCCATTAACACTCAGCAGTTGAGCAAAGTGTTAATGTTTGACATGCATTCAGACGGCACTTAAAACATTAAGGAACGTCTCTACTAAGGCATTTATTAGTTTCTGACTTGAGAAGAAAAAAAAAATTCTCCAAATGATTATATATTATATTGTTCACCAAATCACATAATCGTTAGTAAGAGCTGGCTGCCCATTCAAAGGACTGCATGTTCATCAGGTACAATGTCCATGTATCTTTAGCATTTACCTGCTAAATGAATTCTGTCAGTTTACAGATGATAACTCTGTTTTGCAGAGGATCTGGAGACAGTCATTTGAATGGGAGGTGGTAGACTCATGCTGTCAGCCGATATAGTGATAATAAAGCATTTCTAAGGGCTCCTGTCCGGCTTTAATGAAGTGTCCCAGAGTGCAGTGTTCACACTGTCCTTGGCACTCAAGATTTTAAAACATCAACATTCTTGAAATATAAATCTTTATCTTTGTGGCAAGAACCTCAGCGCCCTGTAAAGCTTCATTACACCAACTCCTCTTCAAATGTTATATCTCAGAGAATCATGGGCAGCACTCTGCATTATTAAAACCCAGTCCAGTGTTCTGATTTGATAAATACTGTAACTGCAAATGCTGTTTCATGATTTATGAGCAAAAGTAAGTTTGAATTTAAATGAACTTTGAAGCATTAATCTTGTTGAAAGGAAAAAGTACTGAGAAAAGAGATTAATGCTATCGATAGAAAATACCTTATCCAGCTAATGACTCTGTTCCCACTACTTTCTTACTGTGTGGGTGCACTATTGCATTGTGACTTTGTATAACTCCTGTTAAGTAGCTATAAGTGCTATATCTTTACAACACACACACACACACACACACACACACACACACACACACACACACACACACACACACACACACACACACACACACACACACACACACACACACACACACACAGAGAGAGAGAGAGAGAGAGAGAGAGAGGCTAACCCCCAAAGGCCCTTCATTTAATCACTCAGGCAGCTCAGTGTTTCAGTCTCACATCAGGATGGAGGAAGTTCAAAGTAATGGCTCAAGGTTAGATTATACACAAACCCCAGGGGTTTCCAGACATAGCCTATACTGTACATATACCGCAGAATCACACACACACAAAACATGGACACATACAAAAACTGTGATGGTATCAGTCAAAGTCACACATCATACTTTGACATCCCACCACCAAGTACATCTATAAGTAAGCCTCCTCTATGAAAGAGAAAAAGTTAAACAGTCACTAGGACTGACCTCCTTAATAAAACAAGTGGGAGAGCCAAGATCAGTTCACATTCCACTTTCAAAGGAGCTATACACCTTCACTCAGTCAATAAAGCAAACACTGAATGTATGATCACATTGGTTAGGAGAGACTCAAAACATAGTAAGCAACAGACAAAAAAATAAACAAGCCCTCTACAGAAAGCCCATAATCCATCCATTCGTTTTCCAACGCTTATCCTCGGGTTGCGGAGGAAGCAGTTCCAGCAGAGGGCCCCAAACTTCCCTTTCCCTGGCCACATCAACCAGCTCTGACTGGGATTTTCCAAGGCGCTCCCAGGCCAGCATGTAGATATATTCCCTGCAGCTGGACCTGGGTCTGCACCTTGGTCTCCTCCCAGCTGGACGTGCCTGGAACAGCTCCCTAAGGAGGCGGCCCTGTGGCATCCTTACTGGGTGCCCGGTTTGTCTACTCCGAGTCCCTCCTGGAGGACTGAACTTCTCACCTTGTCCCTAAGGGAGGTGCCAGCTACCCTCCGGAGGAAACCCATTTCAGCCGATTGTATCCGTGATCACGTCCTTTAGTCATGACCCATCATTCATGACCATAGGTGAGAGTCGGCACATAGAAAACCCATACAATTAGTTGCTAATGGAAATTGTTCCGAATGAATTACAGTACACACGGTTGAGAGTGCAAGCAGCCGGTCTGCAGCTTCTAAAGATACATTGATTCATAATGAATGAAAATGTATTTTCTCTGAAAGTTACAGCTGAATACAAATGATCTATTTTCAACATATTTTATCTTCACACATAAATAATCCAGATCTTTTTTGTCATTATTCCAATAACTTGCAGAAGTGAAAACTCTTTTTCAACTCTGCTGGGTGGGCAAGTGCTGGATTACAGTTCTGATAGCAGTTGTACTGACTCACCCTCCACAGAGATGACTCCCAGTAGATGCAGCATTTTGACGGCCGCACAGCACAGAAGAATGATGGCTATAGTACGTAAACTGTTCTCACTCTGCTCCTCGCTTTCCATTTTGATACCTACAGTACTTCTTTCACTGGCCTTCAGAAGATTACGCTCCAACTCTTATTTCTTCAGTTGTTTGAACGTTTTTATTTTTGTATTCCTTCCCTTTTACCAAGTAGAAATGTACAATAACTAACTTATTCTAAACTTGTACACTTGCTATAATGACTTTCATCCAATTCTCTCTACAGTTAACTTCTGTTTCTCTCTCCCTCTCATGCCTTTAAACCTCCCATCCATCCTGCCTCCTCGTACGCTGAGATCAGCACTCGACTGCCTCTCTCCGTCTCTGTCTTTTTATCCCCCCGTCCCTCCACTCCCTGGGGCATCGTCCTCTCTTATCCTGCCCCTCTCTCCATCCCACTAACTCTCCCTCTGTCCCCCGTCCCCAGCCCTTCTCCCCTCTGTTAGAGTCACTGTGTCCTTCACTTTGGGAACAGAGCTCTAACTTTAGGGTCCGGCCTGAGCACACTGCCACAACACCTACTGCTCTAC